AATAGCACAAGTTTACATTGAAGGTTTTGTTTGATAGTTCATAGTTGGTTAACGTTTGTAAACGTCAATGGAAACGTTGCAGTATTTCAAACTTTAAGGTTGTAAGGCTGGATTGAACTGAGCGAGTTTTAAACTTAAATAGTCATTCTACACAAATTTCTTTTGCAAAATCTGTTCGTTTGTTCCAAGTATAGTACTATAGGAACTACTAAGCCAATGTAAAAAATCTCGAACATTTCTGAACCAGCCTTACCTAATCGCTTGCAGCATACATAACACAGAGATATGATTTAAACATTTATTATTATGCTAATACAGTTACTTATTCAATAACAGGGACAGACGTGTTTGACACGCACTTACTCAATACTTAGGTATCGCGTTAAAGAGCATTTTTTGTGCTTTATAATAAAATATAAGGATGTATAGATTACATAAAAGTGGGTAGGAAATATTTTCTCATAAATATATAGATCTCATAATTACTCCAAAAATATTACAATCAAATAATGTTAGTTTGCACTGTTATTTGGTATGGATATTTGGTGTGTCGGTTACCGATCTGCCCAATGATTAAAAAATATACTATTATGGCTTCGTGAGAGACATATACTTTATTATAACACAGAACTGCTTTCTATACTGTATTCATACTATATTTTCTTAAATGCATGCCAAATAATTTTGAAAATGAGAAGTCCTGTGACATGATTGTAGTTTCAAAATCATTTAAAATTACTCACTTTCACTTATGGGCGGGAGTGAATAATATGCCATGCCATTATTAAATTTTAAAGGTATGTTAAACATGTATTTTCTTTTATAATACATAAATAATAATAAAAGAAAATTGGCACCAGCCTCGCCGCTCGAAGAACCAAAATACGTATAAAAAAACCATCAAAAAATATAAACGATATCTAAGATAATAAAAACACGCAAAATAAATAAATAAAAATAATTATTTAGTTACTATAAAAATAAAACATAGTAGGATGGCAATATGGCAACATAACAAAAGGGTTGCCGCATAAAAACAGTATAAGTTGAGCTTAGCGCATAGCCAACACTGCTGTGATGCACTCAATAAGTTATTTATTGAATTATATTATACCATAAACGTATACAGGGAAGCTTGAGATATAATGTAAAATGGGCGGTTTTATCGGTAAAACAACCTTTGGATGTAGCCAGCCTTTAGGATTCGGGAAATACGGTCGTCAAGTGTATAATAATACCTTATATTTTATATATTAGGTATGATATAAATATAAGAGTTCTGTTTTCACATCATAAGGGATATTTTACGGGACGATTTGCCTCCAGATGGTAAGCTGAAGAGTAATAAATGCTACTTATTTTCAGTTTTCGCAAGTATATATAAAATTGGAATGTATCAGTATATGTAATATAATAAAATGCCCTTTAAAGCAACAGTACATTTGACACAAGGACCATTACAATACAAATAAACAAATTCACAACAAATTATTATAATAATTCAAATATTTGTTACAATAAGTATTTAATCTATTAAATAAACTTTTTGTCTACAAAAAAGTTATATATACTCGGAATTTTAATTCCATTCCAGATTTGACAATTTCAGTGTTGCAACGTTATGACACGTAATAAATAGTGACGTTGCGAAATTATTCGATATGGAAATCGAATATTTCTGAATCGATTCCTCTCGTTTATAAATTTACTCTCGTAAACTAAGTTTATCAGGAAATAAAATATTTCTGAACCGATAATTTAGTTTTGACAATTAATTAACGATCTGAGACTTTTCTTTTGTAATTTTGTGTGAAATTAATAAAAAATGCGATCATGAAGGAACGTGACAAATAAAACAGACATTTTATAAATCGCTATCGCTATCGCCGTTACTCTATGTAACATTTATTATGAATTGTGTCTGTGATATTTATTGTCAATTAACATATCTAGCTTACTAATTTTTTCCTCCTCTTTGAAAACATGGGATACACATTTAGACCATTCGGTAGCCGTAATTTTTTGAATGCCTTCCTGAAACTGATTTACTAATTGTTTATCGATTTTTGTGTTCATCACTACACTGTTATATGTGGTATCATTATTTCACAAAATGACAGTGGTCAATGTCAAATCAGGAATCGAATTAAAAGTCTGACTATAGACACTATCACTGTCAAATAATTTTTGTGCCAACAAATTACATGGAATGTTCAATTATAATACTTACGCAAATAGGTAATAAAGAAAAATATAAAGCGATAATTACCTAATATTCGAATTTAAATTAGGAATTACTACACAATGGTTACAACAATAAATTATTATGTTTAGTTTATAAGGTATAATGAAGACTATCACCTATATATTTTTGACAGCCAGTAATTGGACTAATAGAACCTAAGGCTACAAGAACGCCATCTGGTGACCACAGAACGTGACAGTCCTCATTATACCATTATTTTATTTTTTTGTGTGCTCAACATATCTAAAGCACTTTTATTTCTCATGAAACAGTCTATAAATAATATGTCTTTATTATATTTAAACATCTATTTACTTCTCATACATTATCAATAGATAGATGAGAAATATAAAGAAAAATAAATAGTCAGTAATTATATACTATAGTTAAATATTAACTAAAAAAATATTCGATTTCTGTAAGATTTTTCAATAGAAAAAATAATTAGTAAAAATTATTATGAAAACTAAATTATGCTATTTAAAAACACTCAAAAATAACAGCCACGTTGACACGGAACATATTACTTATACAGATCTTTTTTTACGTAACTCTTTAGTTAACGTCATTTTTTAATAATTATTTAATAAGAATGTATATATTAATGAAGGCAATTATTGCTTCATAAAAAAAAATTAATAAGCAATAATTGCCTTCATTTTTCACACTACTATTTTTCTCGCTTTCTTTCTCCACGCATCAACACTATGTCTAAAAAGATTTAAAAGGACATCAAGTGTATGTGCCGTGTCAAAGAAGCTTACGGCCAGATCCAGAGTCTAAAGAGCTACTAACTTCCAGATAAATAAAAAAAACTTTATTTAATCTGCCCGTTAAATTTTATCATATGCTTGTGTAACTGACCTTCGAAACTTAAAATAAGTACAACAAGAAAAATTCGTCACAAATAATATAAAAAAATATGTCATTCAGAGACTTTTGTAAAACATGAATAAATTAACAAAAGCACCTGAATAAGTCACCTTACAGATAATATAATTATAACCTAGTGATATTTACAATTTTATTACTTGCAGTTGATATTAATTGATTGTCAGAAAAATCTAAACAGAACCAACCGATTTGCTGACCCATGGGTATAAGTCCAAACTTAAAATTGATGATTCATTTAAAATAAATATTCATATCCGTGAAGGTATCTTGGCATAAATTGAGAATCGATTTTCTAAGCACTTTAGTGTTTATATTGAGCAAGTTTTAAACCCAGAGTCACCATGCAATACATACATTTCATCACACGACCCTTACTATAAACCTTATTTTCTGATGACATCCTTATTTATACTTTTACTTATTCAAAAATGACTTTTTTAGTTTAAGTCTCAATCCAGAATGTCAACATCAAACCTACCGCCATCTAAAATTTTCTATTGATACCAACTGCATGCAATAGATCGAAGTCCATTATACGAAGCCACAGTCAATATTACACAATCGGACAATTATAATTAAACCAAGTATTCATTGTATACTTAAGAATACTGTAGGTTTTACTATTTACAATAAATATATTTTAATTGTGTATAAATAGATAATTTTCATGTCAATATTCATTTCGTCGTCTACCATTATAACTTGACCTGTGTGAAGTTTGCAACAATTGTAGCGCAGTTGCTGTCATTTGATTTAATAGCGAACTTCAGAGAGGTCAATTTATTTTCAGTTTTCATTCAGGGTAGATTTCAATATATAGAAACTAAAATATTACAGGGATACTAAAAAAACTACTCTTTTAAAATTGGTTTATAATAGATATGCATTAATATTTTACGATAAACTAAATGAAATCAGTTGACTATATTGTAGTATGTCAATGGTTTATATTTGCAAGTTATTATTTCTATCTTTAGCAGGGGCATACCAATAGATCTATAAAAATTATGGTTTATATTTTGAAATTAGAAGTGGATATACTCTAGCGCACAATAAACTGTTGCCTAATGTGTAGGATTAGGTATTAGTTGAAATATTTTTTGTTACTATGTAAAGCTTGATTAAATTCCATATAAGATACATAAAACAGATTACAATAAAAAATCTATGAATTCGAAAAAAATCTTAATTTAAGTATTAGTTATTACGATAAATTTCAAGTCTTTCATACTGATTTTGACTAGATGTAGTTTATTTTATTTATATAATGGTAGGTATATACGTAAATGTAATATATTATGTATAGTATATAACTTGCTTCATTCACTCAGATCTTTAAAATTGATAAGATATTTAATTGATATATTATTATGCTATCTAATTATGACAAAAACGTGAATTTTCCCTACCCCTTCCAGTCTAAATAAAATAAATTTCAAAAAATAAAAGATCGTTTTACGTAGACAATTTAAATAAATTAAAATTCGCTTACTTAACATAAAGTAAACTATAAATATTAATTAGTCTTTAAAATGGAATGTTTCGTTCAGATCTCATTTTTTCAATAGTCCTTTATCAGATCAGGATTGATCGAAAATTTATCAAACTTGTATAAATAAAATACAACTGGAAAGGGGGTTAAACACTAGTAGAAGTGTTTAAATACAAAATAAGAAATCTCTTTATTATACTTAATTTTTACACTAATTTAAATAGCTGCACAGAAGAAAGTTTTTATATTTTATATTATTATTATTCCTTATTCGCACTTAACATCCGTATGTTTCAATTTCAATATATTTTTACCTTTATGTGCGTTTGGTAATGATCATCAAAAACATAACAAAATGATCTTTAACAACATATAAAATAAAGTTCCAATTAGAACTGAAATTCTAATCTCGTTATCCATTACCATTTGTCAAACTCACCTTTTTGGTCAGTGTTGTGAAAAGATCTGGTTGGTTATTTAAATCTCGATGGGTGGTATGTTCATGAGGTTTTCACGAGCACGGTTCCAATAGTAGTGGGGAGGGCCAGCAGAGAAACAGTACTTTTGTTTTAGTGGAGTGTCGTTCTCCACCCAATACATCAGGTATAAGTTGCACATCTCATCTTTGTTTGTTGCTCTGTAATAATAAGAATAATATTTAATGTGTGGTTTATGACGCGTGAAACCGTTTTATGGTCAATTTGCAAAAATAAATTCATTGTTTCATTGTTTTATGTAATGCAATTTCTTTCTGCCTTCTTCTGCAGTTCCTATAGTGTCTTAGTTTTACAGTGTGTATGCACACCTGTGGGCCATAGGCACAAGGGTATTATTTATTTTAATATATCGCTACCGCCTTGGCCCAGGTTTTTCTCCTGTCGTTGTTGTCGTACATTTACAAGCATATAAATTCATTTGATGATTTTTATTAAAACTTTCGTGAGACATTCTAAATTATTTATTATGTTTTCGGCTTACTCACGTAATAATTTGACGAGATACTCGACTAGTTTCAAGCCATGCTAGAGGCCCATATTCATGAGCAGCATTCCGCGACACGCGACTCGGCGACCGTCGCGCTGCTACTGAATATCTCGTCAAATTATTACGTGAGTAAGCCGAAAACACAATAAATCATTTGATGATGTTCATCTAACAAACCGGAACCGGGAACAATAATAACTGGATCACCCAAAGACCTGTTCCGTGCGAGAAGCAAACCTGCGACACGTTGCGTAGTAGCAGAGGTGTAGTAAAATCGATTGCCGAGCATTTTGAGTTTGAATACGCATTCTTGTAGGCAACGGCAATTATAAACCTTACTGCTGGTTGTGGAGAACTGTAATCCTTATCAAGGTCAGTATTCTACCAATGCCCTGTGACGGGTTTTTAGGTATCATAACAGTAACTGTTATATGATTATTAAATAGTAGAAAAAAGTGAAACTTCCACAGCGTTTAGCTTTGCCGTGTAAGTGCGGTTTCCCAATCCTTTCCCTTCCTCAATTCCTTAATCTTCGAAACACTACTCCCCAAAAGACTGGCAACGTAAATTCTTTGGTGTCGTTGGGTGTTGCCGTATGCTTACAACTTGCTCGTAGGCCGTCATTTCACATAAAAAAAAAATACTATCAGCTTTGTACATAAAACTAAAGCTACTTACCCAATCTTCACGGCGTAGTTATGTGTATTGTTCATGATGCACCGAGCGGCTAACACGTCGTCTCGTTCGATGGGCTGCGTGTTGACGACGGGGTAGAACATCTGCGGTAGTTGCGGGTTCTTGCGGCCGAGCAACGTCCATACGTCACCGTTCTCGTCTTGGCGAACTACGTAACCGGTCACTTGGACTCCTGGAATTTAAAGGGTATTTTTAGATCTCTTTTTACTGAGTACATACTTATATTTTTTATATGTATATTAAGCTTGCAGCGTTGTTGTTTTTAATGGAATTAATTACTGTGAATTTATTGGCTGTAATTTCGTTCCCAAACAGTAAAAGACATAAGGAATGTGGGGTTTTCGGGGATGGGACCTTTATTTAGAGTCTTAACCCAATATCACTAATTTGGGATTTTGTATGTCGTGTTCCAGTGTGTGTTAGGGTGAGGTTAATTGAAACGATTAATTCCGATAATGGTTTATTCGCGACTGCTTATACATGCATTGCGGCCGCAGCCGCGCGTTATGGTAAATTACAGGCCTATCTTTATGAGTAGAAGAGATAATTTCCATGTTTCGGCACGAATTTGAATCTTGCAGTTTTCCATGGTCGACTTCAATAGTTGTCTATCAGGCGATAAATTCGCTGATTTTTCTCAATAACCAAAAATACAACTTCTATCTATTGTAATTTGTAAGATATTATTTTTATATATAAAAATTGATCGCAAAATATGTTGGTAAGCGCATAACTCAACAACGCCTGGACCAATTGTGCTAATTATTTTTTTGATGTGTTTGTTATTGTCGGGAGAAGGTTCTTATGAAAGAAAATATTAGAAAAGTAGAAGGGAAAATTAGGAAAAAGTGACCCTCTGATAGCGTCATAGTTGAACCCGTGCGAAGCGGGGGCGGGCCGCTAGTTACTAAAATAAGCCAACTTACCAAGAGCATGTGTATGAGTACGGAAGGCGAAGGGATGTATGACTTTGTTCTCGTTGATGGTGCAGGCAGTCTCCATGTGTTCCACCTTACGAGGCGGGATCACGCCACTGGTGCCCAGTAGGAACACGCCAGCTTGACGGGGCATGCTGGAAATTATAGAAGAATCGGAGTGAACAGAATTCAAGCGGTAAATTAACGTAAAAGAGAGAGAGAAGAGGGGTGAATAGGTACTAGGAAAATTCGCCAACATCTATTGACCCCTTTTGTGCTCACTCACCCCTCACATTTTATTCACTCCGTTTTAATTACGGTATTCATTAATTTTACAAAGATTAAGATACAGACAGGCTAGACAGTTGGATGTAAAATATGTTTTGTTTCTCTGTTTACCATGAATATGTTGATGAAACCTAAAAATACCAACTTATGGGTATTTCTAATCTGTTTTAAACATTAAGTTTCCTGTCACACGTCCCTGCGACGCGCACGTTTCTCATGAATACGAGCCCCGTTGTGGATTGAAACTAGAAAAGCTTTTCTCAGATCATTCACGTAAGTTGTTAGTGTTTTCAATAAATTTAGTGTCTAATAGTTAATAGACAATTATAAATTTAATGTGTTACCGCTACCTTCGTTTTCGGAGAATAATACTCGTTATGTTTTCTTGAACAATAGTATAGGACAGGAAGATATCTATTATAACTATACAAGTATGAACCCGACCATGAAACTATTGTTGCGTGAGCACTAATTGTTTGTTATTGCTGTTTATACAAACATCTACCCCAAACTGACTGTGTTGTACAACAGAATTTCCACTTTATCTCATACCATTAAGGTTGAAAATAGCTTGCATTTAGATAAAGTAGATTTACTGGTTAACGTCAAAAGGACAACAATGTTGATAAGATTATAAACTTTATAGTAAAGGGTTAAGGTTGAAAATGTTTTTACAGATTGAAGTAGATTGATATGCTGGGTTGTGTGTAAACACTAAATGAACGAGAAACTAGCTTGTTTGTTTATATGTAGTGTTAATTTCTCGGTAACAAGTATGCAGTAGGGTTAGAAGAAGATACTGTCTTGTCATAGAGTCGCTTATCTTATGTAAGTTAGCGTGAAAAACGGATTTACCTTTGCTTTGTGTATTTCAGGAAAACTCCAGAGTTGTCGGTTTTGTCCTCTGAAAATAGCAACATTCAACATCAATATTTTTATTAATGATAACCTGATACCATATTATCGTAAGTTATGATTTATTTAAACTAGTTGGCAGTAGTATAGCGGGCTGTTTGACGCTTGACGTAGCAAGATTGAGCGCTAGTGCAGCTCGAAAACGTTCAGACGTACTCGTAATTGTAAATTAGCTATATGTATAGACATTGTTAAATTAAACTTAGTATTTGTACTGAATTAGAATATTTTTATACATATAAGTTTAATATCATAAGTACTTTACCTGGGAAACGATGCATGTAGTGGACTTGCAGAACCAGGTACTTGATAGGCGAATCCTTTCCGATGAGGAAGCCGACGTCTTTTGGCAAGTGTAGGCTTGGCGCATCCCGAGCCCATGCGTAAACGACCTGGAATATTAATGGGAGAGAATTAGAAAAAATATAGAATATTTATCAGGCCTAATGGACGATACGATACGCTCACAACCGTATCAGTATGCATGGTAGAGAAGATTGTTGAAGAATTTATATAAAGATTTGTTTAAGATCTTGTAAAACATACGATTTTGAATGATGATCGTAAAATCTTATATAAAAATGGATCGCAAAATGTGTTGGTAAGCGCATACATCAACAACGCCTGGGCCAATTTTGTTAATTATTTTTTGTTGTATTTGCTATTGTCAGGAGAAAGTTCTTTTCAAAGAAAATATTAGAAAAATAGAGGGGAAGATTAGGAAAAAGTGACTCTTTGATAGCGAGATAGTTGGACCCGTGCGAAGCGGGTTTAAAATAGAAACCTAACAGTATTTCTTAAAAAAATGCCGCAATAAATCAAAAATATTCGAGTAAGTACATCGAAAAATCCATCCATTCCAAACATTTTATTTTGAAAAGTCATAATAAGTTACTTTTGTCTGAGTAAAGTACCGGTTTGTGTCTATAAATGATGTTAATTCTTCCTCTTGGCCTTGGTCTAACAAGGATAAATATAATATGTATTCAGGTTACTCAGTCTGTGTTAAGTAGGCAAATTGTACGTGTATTCATGTTTTATAAATAAGACATGCAATTAAAAAAACCATGTCTTTTTTTCTTCAATTTTCTTTGAATTAAGTATGTTATCTTGCCAAATATATTTTAATTAACAAGTGAATTTATTTTTTAATTGTCAAAGTTCGATAACCTTTACTTTCATGCATAATAAAGTTACATCATTATTAACTGTGCTAATGGCCCAGGGGCTTCACCACGGGTGCAATGCAAAATACAAAATTTTTGCACTATTTAATGGATGTTATTAGACTACCAATTTTAAAAATCCGCATCAAAATCATCAATCATATATAGGAACAGAGAAAGCAACATTGTCGACATTGACATGTCTATTTAATATTTAAGTAACAAGTTTAACATTGAACAAAAACAAATGATAAAATACATTATCTGTTTACTTTACTTAATTATGTGTTTGACTGTCACCTTTTGTGCAGGAGTTTGATCAGGTGTCAGAAAAATGACATGTTCAAAAGCACAATGTAATTAAAATTGAGTTCATTGTTTAAAACTGGGATCATATTATGTGGAATAATTGGAATTTACTGATGCTCAAGAGTGCTCGATTGGTTTCAAGCCACACCAGGGCTCACAACAAGCATCATTTGGGGCGATTGACAATCGATAACAATGCAGGTAATACATACCTACATAGATTATAAATTGTTCTTTAATTATATGTTTCGAAAGAAATAATATACAGGCAATTTTAAACAATTCGTAAATTATATATTTTTTTAATAGGTATAATATAGATAAGTACAAAAATTGCACCAACTGTTACAAAGTGTAATTAATAAACTTAATAGTCTAATTACCTAACAAAGCTACTTATTCGTTTTATAGTAGTTGAAGTATTGAAGATTAAAAACGAAGTACCGTGGCCCAAAGCCGTATAAATTCTGATCGATGCTTAGGTAATTTAATCGATTAATACGTCATCGATATACCAAGGTCTTGCAGAATGTACACTGAAAACTGTTTGCACAGTGCACACTAAACGGAAACACATTTGAATAAATAGAAAATATCTATAGGTTTTAATAACACTGTAGTTACCAATTAGTCAAGGTATCAAACTTTTGTTGCCAAAACGAAAAACGATGTTTGATCTATGATCTATGTTTTGTACGTTAGGTACCTACGTTGTAAACATCGACGCTGGAAAAGGCCTTTAACAGTTTTTGTCGGCAGTCAACAACTTAATGAATCTATCTATGATTAAATTACTATGTTTAAATATCTCATTCTACATACCATATATAGAGGAAACTCCCAAAATAAAACATAGTAAGTACACTTATATTCTTAGATACTTGAAAAATTACCACAATTTTTTCTTCATTATTACGATGACGGCGTACGTAGACATCTATAGGTTAATAATTAATATTGCAACGACAAGAAATTTAACAGCTGAAGATATTTTTCCTTGATCACCTATCATACTTCTAAGGCAGAACTGAAAGTACATTAGATACAAAAAAAAAATTATGTCGGTAGACTTGATATAGGAATCGTTTTTTATTTCCCTGTATAAAAATGCAATGATCAACAAGAAATGTAATTTATCTTAGTCTTTAGTATTTTATTTTATTCATGAATACTATTTGAAATATGTGTATTATTGTTTATCTGCAATACCTACTATTGTATATATGTTTATATGTGACGCGACCTATGACACGAGTTGCGGTAATTCCCGATTTCAGAGTAGCAGTTTTATCAAATAAAGTTCATCTGAACTTGAGGTTGAGTATCTAATAATATATTATACTTTTAGTAACAGTTAATGATTAACGTTATATTAGGCTGTTTATTCTTCGGAGATGTAGATACAGAATAAACAGACTTACTATACACATTTTCTTAGTCTGGTGAATCAGGGATGATGGAATGCGGGACAAGCGCAAGAAAAGCACCGCGGCCTCGGTCTTGAGCAGGAGAAGGAACAGGGGGGGGGGTTTAGTCAGTAAGAGTCTTACACTCCCTCTCGCCTTACCCTGAGCGGGTAAGGCAGAGAAATCATTGAATGATTTTCCCCCACAAAAAAAGCCCAGTTAATCCCATATTGAGAGCGACCTGTGGCGAACCTTGATAGTACCCAGATTAAGCCCTTTTGTTTGAGGGGGAGAAAATGATCCAATGACTTGTATGGGGCAAGAGGTAGTTTCCGACTCTTACCGACCACCCCATTCCTTCTCCGGCATCGGGCCGGGGTTGTGGTGATTATTGCGCTTGCACCTACAACCTCAAGATGAAACCCCTGAAGTTGAATTAGGTAGTTTTAATGTCAGTAACGCGGCGGGTAAAACTGGCGATAGAACAGAGTTACTTATATGAAAAATTAAGGATAAAATATGTACTTACTTGAGATCCGGAGCGGCATGGACTAGCAGTGTTGTACAGCGAATCTATGTCGTTAGTCTGCATCTCACCACAGTTCCTGATAAAAGATAACGTTTAAATAATTTAATAACAACTTAAAGAACAATGATACCTAGCATTACACCTTGAAGCTGCAGAACAAGTTTTAACGGGGATGCTACAAGGTTCTAATTTGTAGCTTGATATAGGATAGTATGATGACAAAATATATACCTACATATCTTCCAGCTACTTTTAGCCTGTAGCCTTCCTCAATAAACAGACCAACAAACACAAAAAGAATTGTTCTATTCAAACCAGCAGTTCCGGAGATTAGCGCGTTCAAACAAACAAACAAACTCTTTACAACAGCTTTGTAATATTCGTATAGATTATGTCATTACCTATGCGTTTAAGTAACGGAATACCTATACTTATTAAAGAAAACTCTGTTGTAAGTCATAGAAGGATATCTTGAAACGTCAAGTTTTATTAAAATGGAACATAAGCCACCATTTACAGTGTAAAAAGTATAATTCATATGCATATACATATATAACTATTATAAAGTTACAGAATTCGTTTATTTGTTTGCTTGAAAAGATTATCTTCGGAATTACTGACTGGAATTGAGTAATTATTTTTGTTTTGGATTTATGGCGGAAGGCGAACAGCGGTGAAAACAATGAAACCGTCAAAATTATATAGAAAACTGGCATTTCCTATCTGACTACATTTGGACTGCACGGTTGGCGCAGTGGCTGGGCAACTGGCTGCAGTGAAACGTGTCGCGGGTTCGATTCCCGTACGGAACAACACGTTGTTTCGGGTCTGGGTTTGTTGTGTATGAGAATTTGTATGTTTGTAAACGCACCCACGACACAGGAGAAAATCCTAGTGTGGGGTAACGTTTTATTAAAAAAAAAAAGGAAAAGAAAAAGGAAGACTACTCTGAGAAGAAATGCCAATTATAAGCTATAAGCTAGATTGTATACCAAGTTTACGGCTTGTCCACAAAATGGTTACGTTATCACCGACCATTCATCGAATCGATTTCCGTGACACTCGGCCGAGTATTCATTCGGTTCGTGACGTCATTGTATGCCAAACAAAATATCCTCAGGCTTACTACGCAAATCCGTAGCATGTCGATTTCGTGTTAACACCCACTAGTGATGTATTAGGTTACACGCAAAACCTACATAGATTTCAATAAAACAAGATAGTTTTGGAGTGAAAGACTTCTAAAAGTGAGGCCATTTTTTTCAACTTTTCTGTTATTGTATTGTGTACTGTATTTATTTGTCTATAGTGTCCTTAGTTATAGATATGTCAACAAGAAAGGAAATAAATTCATTATGGTACTCTATTGAGATAAAATATAAATGTGTGGTTTCAAAAATATTACTGAATAATAAATATATAAAGTAGTTATTATACATACTTATTGATCTATCAAACGCTTATAACATAATTAATTTAAACAGTTGCAGTACCGCTTTTTGATAAAAGAAAAAAACAATTAGGTAAGTACCAATAAACGCGTTGCGTTGGATTTTTATTGTCGTTGAAAAACGTTGCCAAACTTCGTGTTAATGTTACTGTGTTTACACACACAAACTCATAACAAAAAGTTTGGATAATATAAATACGTCTGATGCCAAGATGAGGAAAAACCATGTGATACACAAACAACTTATACAACTTCAATCGTGGGGTCATTTAACCTTTCAATCATAGTAATTCGATACACAATAAAAGAACAATATGTAGTTGCGTGAAAGCATTTGCGTGGGGTTTAATTAATAAAAAAAATATTTAACTATCCTCAGGTAATTAAATTCGTATATACGTAATCTTAAGGTCCCATTTAAGATAATATAAATAAGAACTTACCAAACCGACTCATTGGATCCCGGCTCTGAGCATCCATACAACAGCATGTGATGAGCTGTGTGCATCGTCGCGTTCGGTTCAAATCCCACTGAAAATATGTTTTAGTTTAATATTTTTGATTGTTTAACAGAAAATTTGATCAAAACACGATTAAGTCCTCTGCCATACCTAAGTAATTTCCTTAATTACATCTATTATCATCATGATCAAGGAACCCAGAGGGTCCTTTGGTAGGCTAGGAGCCTAATATTAAGTCTAGAGATGATTAAATCTTCTGCAATGTGTAATTTCTTTATCATCATCAAGACCAAGGGTCCTACAGAGTCCTCAGCTAGGCTAAGGGCCTAATAAAGGTACTTCGCTCGGCCGACGAGTTGAAGATAGCAGTTTAAAAGGCCTAATTATATAAGAGAGCGCAGCCGCTCATTCTTCTTAATATGTGTGCTCCTACGACTCCCACGGGAAAAAGAAGAAACGTGATTATTTTTACCATTGCCATTAGGTTAATTGAAATTACGATCGCCCATAATTAGAGCTAGGAAGCTCGTGCTACCACAAGTTTATTTTGTAGACATCAATTACAGTGAACACCTATCCAACGCACTGCGCCTACAAACGTACCTACCTAAAAATAAAGTTCTAGAAAAATCTTTCTCTCTATTTTTAGATCGGAAACTAAGCTTGGTATTGAGGGAGTTTCATACATAAATATGATATCAAATGACAAACTCGTAAATAGACAGGGAGCTTGGGGAAATTCTTTTGTTCCTGATTGGACAAAATTAAATGAGCGGAGCCTTGAGTTTATAAGACAGGGAACGGCAGTAATGCAGCATGGCCTATGAGACTACTTTAGTAAGAATTAGGTACCTACACAAAAATCCGAGATTTCCCATTTAAAAGAAAATATTAAGCGCTAGCACAAAAAATTAAGAAATTCTTCTTAGATTGAATGTTAACAAACCTAGGTAATAGTTGCTGTGCGGCGAGATCCTGATCGGCGTGCATAAGTAGAGTTCATCCTAAAACAAAAACATTTTAGATTTTAATAACACGCTTTTACTATGTCGACCTTAAAGAAACAAAATAATATTAAAGAATGAATCAAACTTAGAATTCTAGGTATGAGGATATTACGACACAATGTTATGGTACCATTAATCTGGTCTTTTTTTGTAAAAATTCAAAATAATTAACTGATTTCTCCGGAGGGAGTGTCAGACTCTTACTGACTAAAACCCCCGTTCCTTCTCCTGCGCTGGGCCGAAGCCGCGGTGCCACATTGCGCTTACCCCGCAACCCCAGCATAATCTGGTGTAATGATGGAATTGCAAGGTGACTGATGGACCCTCGCAGTATTTACTACCAAGTAAACATTGAGATTGGTCTCATTCCACCGCATTCGCAGACATCAGATTGTCCTTATGGCTTGTTTACCTAAAGTTTTATTTACTAAAAAACGCGGGAATTACCCACGTGTAGGTACCTATGTATATCTTGAGAAAAGCTTACGAGGAAGAACCCCTCTGTGGTTCGCTTTGCTAGCTTAGCTTTTCTCAATATATACATGCGATTTTTAGTTAATTTAGTATGTCTCACGATAGTTATTATAAAAGTTTTATTAACTCATTGACAAATGTATAGAGCTGTTAACCTAACTCACTCAGATTGTATGGCGAAAAAACTATTTACAAAATTTCTGATATTGAATCTCTATAAATAAGAAATATTAGGTGGAAAACCCGGTAAAATTAACTTATATATATCATTGGCCATTACGTCACGTTCACTACAAATGCAATCTTATGTTTATCACACAAGAGTGTTAATTGGATAAGTCAGCAATGACCATATGTTTTATTACCTATTAATGCTACTCATCTTCAGATGAGTGAGTTTACTATATTTATAGCAATTCTAGCTAAAAAATTAAAAGTTTGTTTATTAGGTAACATTCGTTCTGGAAAAACAAAAATGCATTATTTGTTTTGTTGTAAAGATTCGTATTGTTGAATAATATTTAACAATACAGGTATAACAACATTATCTAATGATCACGACGTCTATACCAAGCAATACGATTGAATTTGACCTACATAGACACTATGGACCTACAAACACTACATCAGTTATATTATAGTTACGTTTAACTCATGTAATAGGGGGATTTGCTGCTGTATTTTTTATTTTTCAATGGGTTGTTTTTTATGGGAAATTCAACAAACGAGCAAGCGGACCACTTTGTGGTAAGCAATCCTTTTTACCCATGGACATCCGCAACATTTGGGGATAAAAGATTAAAGAATTAAAATGGGATGTGGGGAAGGATTTGGTCCTGCGAAAATCATTCACGCTGCGGTTGTTTCATGCCGGTTTTCTGTGAGGCCGTAGTTTCATATGATTAAAAAACTTATGGCGCTGTTATGGCAGTGTAAAGTTCTACAGCTCTATTCGGTACAAAATAGCAAAAACAATTTTTGCGTTGTAGCCGAGTTTTCAATTAAATGTTGCCATGTTGCAGCAATAGAATTGCCAAACTTAATTTAACATTCCAAACGTTTTTATTGCCCGCATAGAATTTGGCATGCGGGCATTGATTATTCAAACACTAAACTGTACAATTCAACCAGACCACGTATTCAGATGATAGATAGCGATTTCCCATCACAATTGTATCTTACCAAGAGTGTTAAAACATCAGTAAATTCTTTTTCGACCAAGTACCAAGTGTCAAATTTTAATCCGAATAAATATTGTCCAAAATTTTAGCATGGATAGGTCACTCATTTTAAGTGCCGTAACTAATAATCATTCTGATGAATAGATACAAACTAAAATAATAATGAGGCATTGACAAACGCCAATGCTGTAAAATTAAGGAGATTGTAGAAGTGATACAAAGCTGTTTCTAAAAATAGACCAACTGACGGAGCTTCAATCAATTTTCAATCAACAGACTAGCACAATAAGTATTGATCTTGATTGATTACAAGATACCGAATAAGTAAGAACCAAAGTATACAAAGGAACTTTATTCATTGATTCCGGACATCTACTTGTTTATTTATAGATACCAGATTTTTGCGTAGGTTTCCAAGGATGTTTTGGATGAAGTATTGTTATTTAGTCTCCAAAATGATTTATTTTTTTCTTTCGTTATTGTAGCCGTGCTCTGACACAAAGAACTGTCTCGACCGAAGAACTGTCTCGGTCGAAGCCGAAATGATACACGGGCTTTCTGTAGAAAACCAGCATGAAAGAAACATTGTGTGTCGTCCTGTAAGATAAGTTACTATGGTGGTGGTCCAATCTCTCTCCTCTTTCAACGCACTTTTCGATGTGTACATGAAGGATGCCATTATTAATATTAATATCACGTCATCTGTTTGCTGTCCTATCCCATAAAAAAGCAGTTGAAGTTTTATTTCAAGGCAAGTATTAGTTGCACGTTGATATTATCGTTAAACAAATGCGTTCATATGTTACGAGCAGTCAGTTGTCTACATTCTATGTCTCAACCCAGTCTGAATGAAACCACCTCGAATGTAACTATTAACTTTGCTTTTTTGCCTGACTTGATTATAGATTATTATGTAATTTGATTGTTATTATTATACCTACACTACACTTATCACGACGACTAAGAACTAACCACATGGAAATACCGCGGGGAAATACTGGTAAGTACTGAAATACCTACTCATACCTAGATACTTGACAAATAGGTAGTTTCGGTAAGTGAAGGTTGCACTTCAGTTTACTTATTATTCTTAGGTCGTCAAATTTTAAGGATTTTTTTATTTATGAGACAAGTCCGCCGCAACACCCCAAAACCGTAAGGCAACAACAACTCCTGTAAGCCAGGATCTACAGTAGATCAACCATGAAAACGTGTCCCACGGACATGAATATCTTGGAGAGGTAAAAACGAAATAGGTTCCACTTCCCTCGGTACATTTAATGCAGGAGACAAAATGCCTTAAGCCTTGAAGGCACGGAAGAGACTGCACAACTGGAACAATTTGTTTGTCAATTGACTGATGATGATGAAATGTGATTTATAAATTGTCAGATAGTTAGGAACTGATGTTCTTTGTCGAATCTAGGTAATAGCCAGCCTTCTATTCAAGTGAAATCATTGTTAATAATATTCAATATGGATATACCTACTTCGGTAGGTATTGGTTAAGGTTGATCAATTTGACCTTTTCGTCAATGCAAGGATTTGGGGACGCAACCCACTGGTTACAATCATGCCATGTACCAAATACCCAGATAGATACACATAGATCTACGATTGTAGGATCTTACAAATTAGAAATATCTCATACGCAAAAGGTACCTCCCACAGTAGGTGCACCTATCACTTTTTAACTGAATCAAAATTAGAAATGTCGGCACGTCGGACGGAACGTTACATGGAATTGATGTAGCGTGCGTAGCGTTTTATAGCCTTGCTCGATAGATGGATTATCCAACACAAAAATAATTGTTTTATTTGAACCAGTAGTTCCAGAGATTAGCGCCTTCATAGAGTTTAGCATAATAATTTTATAAATATCTTATAAACAAGTAGGTATACCTACATTAAAATCCTAGGTACCTAAATAGTAAGGTGTTAGTAGAATATCCCTAATATGAAAACAAAATGGAATGGACGACATTGTGCTGGTCTGGCGTAGGCGTACCACTTAACAACACAATGCACGTAAATATTGACCTTTACTTATCCATAAATGAGGTTTAATGATAAAAGTGGAGTGGATATGGATATCCAAAGCTAATAATCCTTATCAGGTTTTGATATTAAAGTGGTATCAAAGGAAGACTTGTTATGAAAGCTTTGAAAATTTGATGCATATTTTTGCATTGTAACTACCAATGTACCATTTTTTTTTGTGTATGAGTGTATAAATAAATAAATATAAAAATCTTTTGTGGAATCTTATCCGAACCTACATACCTATAGTTTGATATAGTAGGTTTTTTTTTGTGAGGGGAAAATCATCAAATGACTTCTCCCGCCCAGGGCCGGGCAGGAGGGAGTGTCAGACTCTTACTGACTAAAAACCCCCCTGTTCCTTCTCCTGCTCTGTGCCGAGGTCGCGGTACCTCATTGCGCTTACCCCGCAACCCCGCTTACCCCGCAACCCCGTGATATAGTAGGTAAATGTATAATTTGCCTTTGGTATGCAGGTGATGAAATAACGATTAGCATGGTTCAGAGACAGTATCATATTACATTACCACATTATTATCAGTAAAAACACAAAATTTTACTGTTTTAAATCAAACCATATCTTATTTATTGGTGGGCTCAGTAGTCAAACAATGCTCACTGTAAATGCATTAAATTAAATAGATCTTTATTTTTGAACCTGCTTGCCAAGTAACTTGGCTGAATCAATTACTTAACTACTTGAGATGTGTTGTATTCCTGAAAACCTACACCTATGTGTAGTGCCTTTCCTTTCAAAGATTAAAACGAGTGTTGTTATGTACAATTGAACACTATTGATAACTGCTTTATTATTGTTTTTATGTCTGAGTAGAAAATATTAATGAATATCTTAGATGTTGACATTGCACATTTAAAACAATGAGTAGTACTCATCATACCATGATTAACTAGAACAAATACAGGAGATAATTATATAGAATAACTCAAAAAGATTCATTTCATATTAAAAAAACTATAAGTATATATAGGTATAATTTTGATGACTCTGTTGATAATAGACAAATTTGAAACATCTTTTATGATCACAAAATTGCTAAAAGATCAATTTACCACCCCTGCCTATGTTTGTAAAATGAATAAAAGTAAGTAAACCTTAGTTTGGAAAGCAATAATCGGAGCAGGAGCAGAATTTGATGAAAAAACCAAAAATGCATGATTGCCAGGAGTACTTTCTTGTGATGACAGAAGGAAACATTACAGTATTACAATGTATCCTCTTAACATTCTTAATAATAAGTACTTATTAGGTGGAATGCTTGAGGAAATAATCTGATGTTCTTAGTTACCAAGTATATATTGATGAGTAATCTACCGAGATTCATATTTTTTTTTTTGTGAGAGGAAAATCATCAAATGACTTCTCCCGCCCAGGGCCCGGCAGGAGGGAGTGTCAGACTCTTACTGACTAAAAACCCCGCTGTTCCTTCTCCTGCTCTGTGCCGAGGTCGCGGTGCCTCATTGCGCTTACCCACAACCCCGGCTGAACATCAGCCCTTTTGGCTGTGGTGGTCTAATGGCTCTTTGAGGCGCGCGCGGAACGCTACGCGCCGTACGCTCGAGAAGTTTCATTTAAATTGGAATTCTAGGTGCAACACTTGTACAAAATTACACTTATTTATAAGTACCATGCAGGTTTACTTGGCTCCTTATAGTTGTGGGGTAGTGAAATACTTTTAACCTTTAGTAAAACCTTTTCCCTCTCTCTTAGTATACACGGATGATTCTAATCAGACCCATGGTTCCGGAGATTCATTCAAACAAATAAACAATATCTTTAAATGTCTTAAAGTCTATAAATGTTTAAAGTATGACAGTGAATGTGGTTTTTTGAGTGCAATGATTTGCATTTTTGAGTAATTGCTAGTGAAAGCAAAAAAAATTGTATTTCAAACATTAAGAAATATGTTGGCTTTCTCTTTCAAGTTTTAAGTGTTTTCAAATAACTTAACTATTATTTGCTGAGATAAGTTTGAAGTTATTTTTTATAATAAATTATACACATTACCAGATACTGACCGGGCTATGAATAAGCTTAATATGTCTATTTTGTTTTGATTATTCCTCCTAAATCCGAATTTCACTTAGAGAGTGAGATTTTAATGGGAAAGAAAATTGTAATGTTTATGTATCGTGCACTTTTTCCATAATTATTCTAACTGTTTAAACCTTATTATTGTGGACTTCCACATTTTTTTTTTCATGATGACAATATTAACTGAATTGGTCTAGCAGTTTCAGAGTTTTAGCAACACAAACAAAATGTCTAAACATTAATATTTAAAAAAAGAAGAAGAAGAAGAAGACTGAGGTCAACATACCATGTAAGTATCTCTTTCTTTCCAGCCTAAAAAATCATACTGTGTAACTAAGCTATAGTTACCTATAGAAAAATAAAGAAACGCTTACCTTAGGTGATACCTAAAGATTAACATCAATAAAACTAAATCAACACACTCGAGAATTTCGGTTTGTATGGACTACATCTCAATATTGTGCTTTGGGTTTTCCTTGTAATATTATTAATGTTAAACAAGATTTTGCAAATCATACAGACCCATGGATTCTGGTTTTTCCACTTTTCGTATTGGTAATAAATAATATTTTATCAACACACCAGCCAGAAAATAGCTAATATTTTAGAAGCCATATTATTAACATAGAATGCAAGTCCATAGTCATAATCCATTACTTAATTTATTTTTAAACACAAGTTTTTTCTTAGAGTAATCCGAATTGTTTATTATAACAGTTTTAATTATTTTAAATAAGAAGTTAATGTATAAACTACAGTAAAATAAGATCAAATTTATTATTTAGCTTGAACTTACCTTGTGTGGCCAAACATTGGGCATCAAAAAATCATAAGTATCAATTTCAATTGCTGATGCAAATAAAACGCAGCTAAGCGTGGCAAAAACTACAAAAACTATTTTATCCATATTTTCAAATTTCAATTTTTAAAAAAAAACACTGCCGCACTACTTTTCCACTTAACTCTACAAAATGAATGGACAACTTTTACAGCGTTTATCACGACAAAATAAAACTGGTTGTTTTATTATTTAACGTTTGTTTGATATACTAGCGCGTTGACTCAATAATGCTGCATGCTGGAGCCGAGAAGCGACAAGTGTTTGTATAAATAATTTCGCAAATAAAATCGATCAATACTAGAATCAAGTTGATTAACGTCATAGCTGTGTTGCTAGCAGTTTAGATTTTACCACTATCATTACAAGAACAAGATTTGCTTAACACAGATTTAATGACAAAAGACTATTGAAATTGCTATCCATAACTCTTGAAAAATATTTATATACCGATCTTTAACGAATACTTTAAAAAAAAGCTTAAACCGCACAGTATCTTTATGGCAATAGGCAAATTAATGTATTGTTTCTGGTATCACCAATTTTGTCGGGTGTACAGTTTGACGTATAACATTCGTTTAAAAACGAAGTACCCTTTTAGCTGTATTTATGATCCTGCAATATAAACATTGCTTAATTATGTTTTTATTACTCCACCACACTGTCACAATAATAAAAAATAACTATATTACTGACATTTTAATTAAATTGTTATTCCAGTTACGATCATATACTGCCACCTGTTGGTATCATTTTTAAGGTCGGAATAAAACTTACCCTTACCACTAGTAGATGGCAGCACTACAACTTTTAAAACTATTTCTTGTATTTGATTATAGTAAAAGACAAGTACCTAAGTACTTTTACATTATGATTACTTAAAAAGTCTTTAACTGAATTACTTCTTCATTTTATTACATGCTCAGAGCGCGGCAATTTCAATTTGACAACCGAATTTCCTAAGTAAACAAAATTTCTTGCTGCAGTTAAAGAGATAGGTTAGGACCTAGTTAAATACATTCTTGTGTTTCTCAGTTTAAACTCAATATTGTATTGAGATTAAAAAACATGTATATGGTTTGGTTTCTCTCATAAAACAACCCAGCTAAAAGACAAAATTTGGTCCGTCCACTTCGTGTAAACAACTAGGTACTTGCCTATGTACATATTTATAAATACCTAAGTATCAACATCAGCATGTTTAGTATCCAGTTTAATGGAAGTATCGTGTAGTAGTAATAAAGTTAGATATTCCGTCAACTCTGTAAACTACTTGCGACGTTCCCCTCCTTGAGAGCCGTTGCCGTTGCCGTTTAGCAATATAAATTGAGGACACCGACCAGCCGGCAATAGCAGCATGATCTGTCACAATAAGTCCAATTTGAGATGATGGATAGGTGCGCATCTGGGAAGGTAAGTACGTTGAGGCATCCTTTGCGAAAGTATTTTGTCTTTGTTTAAATAAGCATACGATTCTGAGTCTTTTTTCCCACAAGAACTTGACATTTTTTTTTTGTGACAAATATGTTTTATGTATTAAGCAGACAAGGGAATTTGGACAGGTTTCATAGATAAAACTGCCAAGGCATGGGCGATGAGTGAGCCGAGTCGATAATACCTACCTGAATCTGAATAGTTATTTGTGTTAACTACACCAAAACAAAAGTAGGAAGCCATTATATAAGAGAAAGTTAGCGAGGACTAGGTTCTGAATAGTTTTGGGCAAGTAGGCAATAAAAAGTTACCGTTTCAAATGAAATCTACTTACAGATTTGTATTCCCAATAAAAAAGAGCATTGAACAAAAGAAACAAAGTTAAAGTCATAAATTTATTTTATTTCTCAAATAAATATTCCGTGGCGTGATTCGGAAAGAGAATAGCCCATCATTTTGTTTGATACATGATTCTTACTCGTTTTATTTGAAGCCTACGTAGTTAGATACGTGACGGGAGAACGGATTGTAATGCCATGGAAATAGTGAATAAAATTGTATAAGTAGGTACTTAAAATGTAAAATGGTAAGAAAGTTTATTTCTAGGTTCAGCAGAGATTTTTGTCTCAAATTGTGTTCGGCGGTTAGCGATTAGTGGATAATAATTAAGATGATTTGTACTGCAAGCCTTTCTAACCTCTTTATGCTGTACCCTTTTTTTGTCAGGAGAAAATCATCAAATGACTTCTCCCGCCCAGGGTTAGGCGAGAGAGCGTGTCAGACTCTTACTGACTAAAAACCCGTTCCTTATCTTGCTCTGGGCCGAGACCGCGGTGACTCATTGCGCTTAACCCGCAACCCCGTCTGAACATCAGCCCTATAGGGCCAATAGGGCCCCGTCTGTGGTGGTCAATTGGCTATTTGAGGCGCGCGCGGAACGCTACGCGCCGTACCCTCGGGTCTGGTTCTGGTCGGGCGGCGAGCTATTTATGTTGTACCCTACCGGGTCCATATTATTTCAATATATTATTGTAACTTTATAAAAATACCACCTGTTTAATGTGGAATGCTAATAAAGTATTGAGTATTATTTGCGGTATTTATCGCGCCCTTAGGGAAATTTTGCCAAAATCAATTCCTAGAACGTTGCTAAGATAAGGAAGAAATATAGAATGATATTATTTTACGACGTTCGACATTTTGGGAATACTCACTGAGGGTCAAAGAATATGCATTAGGCAGAAAGGACTTTTCCAATAGTTAAAATCGTCACTCATTTACTAAAGTATTACGGATTAGGTATTAAGTAAGTCTAGACTTCTCTCTTAGGCTTTTTGTAAAGAATAGGTTCGTATTACGTCTACTTACGAGTTTTAGTAAATACTCAATTGTGTTATTTAATGACCTTTTCCACACAAAGTGAGGGAATAGGGAGTGTCAGACTCTTATTGAGTAAATAATCATCACTTCCCTTCACCTACTCCAAGCCGAACCGAGGTACATTATTGTGTTGCGGGTATGGGTATACCCGAAACTAGACCGAACATCTCCTCTACACCCTACTCTGTGTCATAAAGCAGTTACCACACAAATCACGTGCCTGTATCGGCGATGTTTCAACCGGGTCGTATGTACGACCTTCAACTGATTTACGTCCCTAACCTAACCCGGTTAATGGCGGCCTTAGTGCTCTATTGATATTTTACGATGATCGGAAAGTGATGGGGCCGTGTTTGAATTAATAGCCCAATTTAAGATTTGCGGAAGTGAAGTGAAAATTTGGTAAAATGTGTATTTTTATATTTTTTTAGAAATTAAACTTATGGATTGTAAATGTTAAAAGAAATTATAATTCACTTGAGGTGTAGGTTGATTGATACTTTCTTTTCAAAATATTTTTTTTATTACAGTCTTTTAAGTAACAGATTACAGTCTTTGTCCGTCTGTTATCTATAAGTAAAAATGAATCGCAAAATATGTTGGTAAGCGCATAACTCAATAACAGCTGGAGTAATTTTGCCAATTATTTTTTTGTTATATTTGTTGTAGTCCGGAAAAGGTTCTCATTTTTTTTTTTATAAAAGAACATTTACTTAAATACATTCTACCTATCATAACACCAGAGGCCCGAGTCTACTATTTTCAAAGTGTTGTCATTCCTACACGATTCCATTGTCATTTTGCTAAAAGGTCGTAATCTGTTAATTCAAAATGGCTGATCATTGGCGTTCGGCGATGTCGTAATATAATTATAGTACGAGATGTCTTGTAACGAATTATAAACAATAACTGCACATTAGTATTCTAAACGTAAATCATTGAATAAAGGAACTGATTTTTTTTTATTAATTTACCGCATTATTTCCAATATTTATTTGTCATTGTGTACCTACGAGATTACCGTTCTAAAGAATTATTTCAATGAAGTGGTATTGGGAGGTCATAATGATGCTATCGTGTTAGTAGATTAGCAAAACTTGTCAAAATCAACAATTTTGCAACCAATGATCTACTATTCTGACACTATTGTAATAGCAGACTCGAGGCCCAGTAGCATTACAACCTCGAGGAATATATAATAAAATGATAAGATGTACGATCGTTAACATTTTTCTAGTGCGCTTATAAAGAGTTAACAGCAATATTAATGAACCTTAATATCCCTTTCAAGAGTTGGTAACTGAGCATAAAATTCTATTACGGCATTAGGAGCGCCCGCAGACCCACTTGTTAGTGCAGGAAAAAAAGATAAATTATTACGTGTTTTTTTATGTTCTTTCTGTTCTATCGAACGATGTGTTGTGACTGGAAAATGTGAAATAAGTAGATACCTGGTAACATTATGCTAGGTATTGTTATTCTATGAAGGGGTGATGTGATAATATTTATCTAGTAATTTTATGTTATTGAGAAAATTGAATTCTTATTCAAATATGAACATTATTCAAATAATAGAACTCCCGTGTGTTTGTTGTGTGGTGTTTTCTTCGAACACCAACCATACTCGTACTAGGTCGAAACTCTGCTATCCCTCGAATATTATATTCATCTCGATGTTCCTTCTTTAAGGTTTCTTTTAGAAAAGACAGACAGATTTAGATTTTTAAAATATTTATAATATCTAATTAAATATTATGTTTGGCGCTAAAAAGTCTACAATAGTTTAATTGTAACAAATGATTTGACCTTGTCTTTGCCTATGACTGAACACTATATTTTTTTCAATTATTTGCATATAAATCTACAAATCGTTTTTCATCTACAATTTTCTATTATCTTCCAATTTCCTTGTAGCAACTGGTTTCCAAATCGTTTTATAGTCCCCACGCCATAAAACCGACATGAATTCCAACCCCGCTACATACCACTCGTCAAAGAGGGCTGATTTCTAACAAGCTATTTATTGGACATAGAATCGAACATAAAATTTCCGGCTGTTTCCTTTGGCTTATGAAAATTCGGCTTTTGTTTGGTTCAAGTGAAGAGCGATTGAGATTTTGTGGAATTATTTAAGTAAGTTTATTGCCTATGTGTGTTTTCTTGTTTATGTACTTAGTGAGTAAAGGTGAACCTGCCGTGATACATTCTAAAAGAATAAGACCAATAGTCTTATATTTGAAAACATTAGGATGAATAGAAACTACCTATTTTATTAAA